CTCTCTCTTTAAACGTTAATCAGGATAGAACACAAAAGGAACAATGTTTCAACTCCTAGCATCCCAGCTAGTTAGGGTATTCCACATACAGCTCATGTCTCCTTTATCAGTCTTTTGCCAGCTGCTAACTCTAAAATATTATTTGATTCTTGATGGTACTTATGTCCATGCTTTTTGCTGTATTTTTGATGAACAGTCTACAGCGATTCCAACAAACAAAGACTATAAGATGCATTAAAGCACACTTTCAACTATGTGTAAATTTTGAAACCTGAAGTGAGTTTCCAGACACAAAGGATTTGATAACATGAGGTATTTAATACACAATGGGAAGCACTTTTCAGTTGAAGCCTTGTTATCCAATAAATGAAAAATTTTCAAGTACAGCTACTATCTAAGAAGTCAAGCAGGCCAGAAAGAAAATTTCAGGATTTTGCTTATTGATGTCATTAAATCCAACATACTTCTAAACTTCGAAGCATGCATGGACATTGTGAATGTTTTAGGATGGTTCTGTAACTGATGAACATACTTGCAGCTACCTGTTTACTCAGGGAGTTAAAAGTGTTTTTTCTAGTTAAGGCAATAGGAAGACACAGACAGGTGGCTTATATAGCAGTATTAATTGAAAAGAATGTGACTAATGCATTCTCCTGGGCAATACAAGTTTATGAATAAATCCTAGAAACTTCAGGAAAACATAAAAGAAACAAAACATTGGCTTAGAGGAACGAGACTTTTGGATTCCTTCATACAAACTGTGGGTGTTATTTCCCACAGCTAGAATACAGCTTCACTACTCCTCTACAGATGAGGCCATTTAGGGACAAGCATGTAATACATATTTCAGGTTAAAAATTGTACTTAAGATAGACAGCTCTTCCCAGCTCTAATTGGGCATCTCTATCCCAGTTCAGAAAGGTTTTGGAACTATGAACCCACTACCCTGTCAATATGCAGGACAGCAGCAGGAGGGGCAATGACAATACAAGGTCCAAACCTCAGTGTGGTGTTTGACTGCAAATAGTCCTGAAAGATACAGTTAACCATAACAAAGCAAATTCTGGTCAAGGCAAATGTGTTTAAGAATCCAGAGGGCTTATAGTGGCTTCAAGTCTTATTTCAGGATTTAGAAAAAACAGACTGCAGAGCCCCATGTGATTGTATATAAACAAAATAGATTTGGGGCCCTCTGGCTATGAGACTGAATGTGGTAATGTCAATAGGCATCACGATGCACAAGAATCTTAGCGTTTGTACTACTCTCCACTTTCTCTGTACCACCAAAAGAAGCAAATGCACTTTAATGTGAACGCCATTTACAGCAATTACTTAAATTCTACCAGAGCATGCATTAGCATTTTAAAAAGCATCTGTGTTTGATGAACTGACTGATAAAGCATTTTAGAAAAATGTTTTAAAGTGTTCGCCTTTGCTTTATCTGTACTAGACTACAATTAATAGGAACGGAAAATTGCTTTAAAAAGGAACTATCAATTGGGATGAAATGTAGATCATCAGAGGGCAGCATGAAAGACGGGAATAAATGACAGACAGGAGAGAAGACATTGTAATTTCTTATTATTTTTGACAACCGAAGCACGAGAATCTCAAAGTATTTGTTATCACCACTGAACATCTATGCAACACAAAGGCAAACCAGCCTACAATTTTCCAGAGAAGTCTGCAAGAAATCAGAGTATTAATGGTCTGTGAATGTAGCAAAGGCTATCTCATGAGCCAGAAATAGATTTTTAAGCACTTAGCTTCCGTGTCTTTAATTTTAAAGAAGTACTACAGTTATTGCTTTTTGGTGCAATGAGTTAATAGAACAAGGCATATAACACTTCAGCTTACTGGGAACCATGTAAGAGGACAATAGCCAAAAGCATAGTTCAGTTCCTGAAACCTTCTCTATAGTAGAAAGTTTTATCAGCAAAGCCATCCGTTCATCAGCAGAAGCTCCTAAGCATTTATATTCTGGAGCAAATCTGAATGACTCTCAACCTTCATTTGACAGAGAGCTGGCTTTCTAAGACTCAAATATTACCAACCACAAAAGTGGCTTTCAACAGCCACGCAGACATCCATGACAGTAAGGAACAACATACCTGCCCTATACCTCTGATTACTTACAACACATGTGATGCCTCATCCTGAAAAACAGTGCTGATTAAAAGCTTCCTCTTTCTTTAAAATCCTCTGTATCTTATGGCCTGAACTTTCTCTCAAATAACTGTGTGGTGGTGAAGTGACCACTGCCTCCAGCTCTGGGAATACCACATGCGGAAAGGAAGGCTCTGCATAACAATTGAAGCTGTAATGTTAATGAGGCTTTTCTGTATCAACTAGGTAATTTGGACTATCAGATCATTAAAACATTAAGTGGCTGAAAAATAAATTCTTGAGCGCATTTATCTAGTGCATTCCTTTTTGCACATTACAAGATTTGGAGTGAAGCAGTGTGTCCAACTGCCTTGGTATTAAAGGGTGTGTGTTCTGACATGGGAAGACCATGGAAAATAAAGATCACAAAGAAGAAAAGGGAACAAGCCACATCACATCTAGAGAAAAAGAAATAGCAGCATAAGTCTAGTGTTGTCCTGGGACTTGGATGTAATGCTGTAATCCACTAGAAACTAATATTGTTTTACAAATAAAGTGTCTCACAAAACATGATGCAAAACCCACCAGAACTGAGGTAGAAGCATAAGGGCCTGAGTGATAGGAAGGAATCTCCTCAAAATGCAGGATGGCTGCCAGAGCCCTTCAGTCCCTAACGAAAAGGCTCTGCACAAGTAATATTTTACAAGAATGTCTATTTTACCAGTTTACATGGAATTTATTTTGTTTGCTATTCTCCTAGTCTTCAAAACATTGCTTCTCCCTCTTTGCCCATCAAAATTTGGTGGCCAGCCTCACACAGAAGCATAGGGATTTTTGCATTAAACTAGCTACTTCATTTTAAGGATATAAACCAGTTATATTGTGCAACAGAGGAAAATATAAAGCAACAAAAACCATCCTGAAGAACGTAGTTTTACAGAAAACAAACTGCAATCAGATTTCATGGAGCTATCAAAGAACAAACTCACAGGTAGATATTATTCCAGGCTTACGGTCTTATGATGATAGAAAGTACATATCCTATATTCAGGAATCAATTTGAACAGAGTTACATCACTAACCTACAGAGGAGGTGACATCACAGTTACAGTGCAGACGCTAACTGATCTCAGCACATCAACAACTTTTTAGTCAACTACTACAGGGTCCCTGAACCTTTTCAGTGGGCAGCATTTAAGCTTAAGATACCTGTAGACAGAAATGCTTTGTTTCTCCCTGGTGCTATTGGAACTCTGCACAAAACTCAACAAAAACTTGAGACTACTGCAGAGAAAAGTCCAGCAGCAGAACAGACATTTACCAATCTGCTCAGGCATTCCATTTTCTAAGCCTTTTTTGTACCTTGAAAAGGAATATACACTGAAAGATTGTGACAGCCTACAAGAAATTTAGGAGCTTGTACAACACCATCCTGAAACTGTGCTGTTAAACTGTCATAAACTGTAGCGGCTGTGAGCCTGTCCATACTGTTTTGGCAGGGGGGTTGGACTAGATGATCTCCAAAGGTCAACTTTCCAATCCCTACCATTCTGTGATCACCTTTGAGAAGCAAGGAAAGCAAGAGTGGAATACAGAGATTCAGAACCTGGTAGTTTTTAGGATAAGATAACCCTAATCACCACAGTCTCTGAAAGGCATGATATATTCCTTGTATATCCTCATAGCACTATTGTATACCACAGACACTCTTCCACAAGGTAGCAGAGCAGATAGCTATGCTAATGATTCAAGAATAACATGCATCTTTTTTTAACCTGGAAGGGCATCCAAATGTGAACTAATGTTACCAAATGGCAGATAGATACTGGCAAAACTCTTGCTAATAAAGCTTTATAGCATTGGCATAGCCCACATTTCAATTTGAAATCACAATAATGAAGTCACATTACTCTGCTGATATTCTGAATCACTTCCACCCTTGACTTCAGTTCTGTTGGCTCACTCTCACATGGATGTACTCACTGATTGATCACACAAAACCATGAAAGCCCAGGTACAATCTCCCTGAAATATCAAAATACTGAAGTGCTGTTTTCTTTCCAGAGACTAGAGATATTGTAAAACTGATTTTTTGGTTTTACTATAGATCACTTGGAGACAATACAGAATCTTTTCTTAAAAATGTAAAAACTTTAAGAGGATTAAAATTCCTTCCACATATAATGAAATTACATTCTCATTTTCCACAGGGGTTTTGTTTTTTCAACAAATACAATGTTAGGAAGCAAGTATCTCTCTGCTATAAACAGTGAAAGATAAGAATTGCTTACTACTGTTGAGCCAGAAGAGCATATAAACTGTTACATCCATCAGATTCAAATCATTGCACAAATAAACAGAACCATTAACAATTCTAAATATTATCCTCTTACTACATGCATTTTCTGTACGTATGAACTACCAAGTCAAAATAAATAACTTTAAAACCCCACAGTCCTATTATAATTCCTTCCTGTAGCTCTGTTTTTCTTACTTGAAGAATAAGTGCTATCTATCATAGCTGAAATCATGCCCAGAGGCTCAGAAAGTTTTCTTTATATGCTACCTCTATGATACCCTTTTCACTCCTTGGCAAGTCATTAAGTTCCACAACTGTTCCTGCTCTTGCTGTCTTGGAAGTTCTTACCATTCATTTTGGTTTAACACCACAATAGCAGGCCCCTCTGCAAGTTATTTCAACATCAAAAGTTATAAGGTATATATGAATGCTAAGACTATTCAGTGCAACATGCATGAAGACATGACCACCAATCAAATTCAAATACTTTCTTACTCATTTAGGCTGCACAGCTATACACAAAGCTTTGAATTTATTGCGTATCGGACAAGAAAGTATCTCATTTGGAATCTGACACCTAAACAGGAATACTTACCCTGCTGCAACTGCAGGAGGGATGACCAGTATGAGTTTAAGCTGTGCTTCATGCAGAGCTTCAGAAAGGTGAATGAGCAAGTGAATCAACTCCCTGAAATAGAAATATATCGTTAGAGGGAAAGGCAGTAAAACTGGTGCTATATATTGGCAAGAGCAATCTAACAAGTAACTGTAGAAATAATGGAAAATATGCAGCTGGCAAGAGAGCAAAACATATTTTGTAGTGAATAACCATAGCAGAAAAAAAACATGAGGAAGAGTGATCAGAGGTTTACCCTCTTCCAGGACCAAGAGCATTGAACTGCTGGAGATGGTCTTAGTTTTATTGGAACTGGTGATCACCTTGGAGCTCAAACATTTCCTAATTGTATTTTAATCTAATTATGCATTGTTAGCATGTAAAACCAGCATACATTATCAGAGCAGGTTACCTCTTGAGGTCATATTCAGTAAAAAGAATTAAATCAATAGAAGAATCAAACACAGTTCTGAAACAAGCAGCTATTGAATAGATTCAAGTTGTCAATCTATTACTACACATGAGGTCTGAGAATTTGTAAAGATGCTTTTACAGCAAGACACACAATCTTCAAGGGATATTTCTGAAGCCTGTATTTAGAAATATTTCTGCTGCTGTTTTTTTTCTGTATAAATAGTCCTTTTGTTTCTCAATACATTATAGCTACAAAATAAATGTTTGACAATGTCATATCTGGAAATATCACCTTCCATATGCATCATTTAAAGGCTTTCACAGAAGCTGATTTTCATATCCAAATTCTAAACATTTCAATAGGAAAATAAACTCCAAAATTCTCACATAAACTGTTTTGGGTCTTCCCGATTTGACGGGTGATATTAAAAGTAAATCCTTCAGAGACAGACTGCAGATACAAAAAAAGTTTAATGACTATTGTTATCTTAAGAGGAGTCCAATATTACCCCCAATTTGCACTATAAATATGGCCCTTTTGTGTGCTTTCCTTAAGTGATTAGATTTTTCCGAACAAAGTCAAGTTTCACACTTATCCACTGACAGGCTGGATACACAAAGGCAGTCAGATATGAGATCAGCACAGAACTCTAGATCTGTTCAGAACTACGCTTAAACCTGAACCGAATAGAAAGCAACTTTGTGACCAATTACAGTAGGCTTAAAGTGCTAAAGCAGCAAAAGCAAAACATACATAAGTGATCATCCAAGTTATTTGCTCCACTTAAACTGAATTGGACCCAAACTCTCAGAAATAACTTTTGGTAATGTCATGCCTTTCAAGGCAGTATCATCCTCGAGATATTCTTCTGAAATCATTGATCTTCCAATATAATTATCCATCACAGTAATGATGCTTGACTTGCACAATGTAAAGACTATTCAAAGGTAACAAAGTATTTTAATTCTCCCTGAAATGGTTTGCTGCCTGATGAAAACCTCCTAAGGACAGTACAAAAGCCATTACTCTCAAAATCCTAGCAAATCAAGTTTTATCACTTTCTCAATACTTTTGTGCTTACAATTTGAGAGCTGGCTGTGCTGAACAGCTCTTGACAATGAGCTGTCACACTGCCACCTATATTTCTCTTTCGGGGGGAAACATGAGATTACAGGAATCAGCTTTTGGTCTGTCTGCAGCATGTACTTCTACCATTCTTGCTCTGGGAAAGTAAGAGCTTTCCCTCCCATTTCCTTATCATATGCATCCCACATTAAGAGTGTCATGATTCAGAGAAATCAATTATAGCAAAGAAGAATCCTTTTCTTTAGGAACGCATTAAAAAATTACAGCCCTAAACTAAACAGACATTTATTGATTCCAACGTATGCATCACAGCTCCCACGACATAGTCTTATCAAAAACTATAATCAGTATTAGAACGAGCTAAGCCTTCTTTCCCACTGATTTGTGTCTCATGGCTAAGTGACCTTTTTAACTAATTATGCCCAAACTGCAGTATGAGTGCACCCTTTATTAGATGTCAGAGATGCTACATAGAAGATAAATTTCACCAAGATTCAATTCCTCTGGCTCTGAGATGATTCTACACTGTTCATCAGCAGGAATCTCTTTTCTCTGCCAGCCTGTCTTTGCTAGCTGTAGCAACTTTGAGACTTCGACACCACGCAAAACACTCGCTGACTTTAAATGTAATGCTTTATAAGGTGAGAGGAGAGAAGGAGGGGCAGAATAGGATAAAAGAACCTAACATAAGTGCAAAGCAAGATAACGTCTTTTTCTTTTCATTTAGAAACAAGGCCAACACCCTCGCGTCCACTCTGCATCTCCACGTATCTACCCCAGCTCCTAAAACTTTGCTATCCAGGTAGAAATGATTTGAAGCATAAGAAGAAAAGCAATTGGGATTATTTTGAACAAGATGCAGAGAAAAAAAATATCAAGTGAATATCGAATTCAAGGTTTCCCCTTTCTTGGCAATGTCAGACACTGGTGGTTAGCTAGCAGAGGTAAAAATCTATCCACAAAAGCAGTGACGTGCACACAAAAACAGTGACTTCACAAAAGCAGTCATATTTTAAAACTAGAAAGGCATAGAGCGTAGAACCACAACCTACACCTGTAAATGAAGGACAGAGATTTTTGGCCTGATAAAGGGGCAGGAGTGCAGTTTGGATTGCTGGTTGTATTTTGTAGCTAACAGACAGGACTCTAAGTAAAACCAGACTCTATCAAAACAGCCACTTCTCTCCTCCCACCACCAAATCTGCGCAGAATAGCTCTGGCCAAAAAATAATTAGCTTCAACTTGAAGGACGTCAGGAAGAAAAGGGGTAGCTGGACAACTGCAGATTCTTGCTCAAGAAACCCAGATTAACATCTGCTCACTAACCTGTCAAACCAGGTCTCTGTGCCCTTAAAACTTTTTAGCAAATCAGACAGGATTAATGGTTGAAGACTTAATTTAGGCTCCCTTCCATTTGTCAGCCAAGACAGATTATGTAAATCAAATGTACACTCTTCCCCTCTCCCCCAAACAGCAAGAGCAGAATGCTCATTTATCTTGTGCTATAAATTAAAACTTTACTGTGTCTCAACAGTGCTTTCCAATGTTTTAAACACAATATCCTCCAATGCTACCACTGGTAATTTTGATAGAAAAGCTACTGACATTTTAAACATTATAATGAGTTGCAGAAAAGTAGGAATAGAATCAGTCTTCCTGAAAAGGCTTCATTAAATATTTACCAGAGACTTCACCATTGTCAAATTTAACTTCAGAGCAGCTACTAAAACATTGGCAGCTTTAAGGCTCTATCTTGAGCTAATTAAGGTCTACTTCATTCCTACTGTTTCAGGCCTTCTGTTATCATTACTATATGGTAGGTCAATTTTCCAAGTGTTCATGATTTCAAAGTATTTTCTTCCCTATAAAATATTGAAGGCCTCCAAATTTTCATTACCCAAAGCGTCAGGGAAGCTTATTTTTTCAGAAGTCCCTTCTTCCAGCATCACTGGTCTATTTCATTTGTGACACCTTGTACTACAGTTTACTTTACGCACAAGAGAGCGTGTAGGTGTATTCAAAAAGCCTTGCAGAAGACATGTGAAGCTGTTGTAGCCCTCCCTTCAGTTACATGACCTTTCAGAACTCTGCAATTTTCCAACTTCAGCCACTTTTTTGCACAAGTTGGTAGTCAGTACTCCCTAAAATTTATGCCTTGTCAAGAAAATTGGACAGAATAAAGCTGTCTATTTCAAGAAGAAATTGCCCTTTTGTACCATTTCATTGCCTAGTTAATACTGAGAAACTGGAATGAATTATGGCAAATCTTTGATTAATAGATTAATTTTTCAGGGACTAACATGAAGGATAGAACTGCCAGAAGAGCTTTTTGCTCCTATACTCCTACCAACATTAATATGATGTCTGAAGGTCATCTTCTGCATGATACCAAGTGCCTGCAGCACGTGATGACAAAAAAAAAAAATTAAAAAAAAATCATGTTTTTTAGATTGAGTCTGTGTGCTGGCAGTGCCATCTGTCAGCTAATGCCAGGCTGATCAGAATAATGAGTACACTTTTATTTACGCTGTGAGATTCTGATGGGTACATTCATGTCTTGTTCACAACATGACACACATCTCTGGAGAAAAAAAAACACTCGATAAACCCCAAGTCCCCCAAGTATGATTAACAAGAGAGACATGGTTCTGTCTAGCTGTTAACTAAATAAGCAGGAGAATCTTTGCTTGCTTGCTCAGTTATCTCAATATTTCTGCCACGTACGTTTCTAAATTTAAATCACAGAATCTTCATGATTGGAAGGGACCTTTGAGATCATCGAGCCCAACCACAAAAAAAAACCACAAAAAACACACAAATCAACAATCTCAGGCACTAGAGCATGCCCTCTAGTGCCAGGGCTACACATTTCTTAAATACCTCCAGGGATGGCGACTCCACCACCTCCCTGGGCAGGCTGTTCCAGTGCCTGACCACTCTCTCAGGAAAGTAATTCTTCCTAAGATCTAATCTAAACCTCCCCTGCCACAACTTCAGACCATTTCCTCTGGTCCTGTCATTATTCCCCAGGATTAATAACTTGGAATATTTTATTGCAAAATTAGTCAATAAAGCTTTAGATAAAAGACAGTTATTTAATTAAGAAGCAGCAAAACACATTAGAATTGAGCTATCGTCTGCAAAGGATATTTTCGCTAATTTAGATTTTTGTTAGGAGACAAATTTCTTATGTATTAAAATAAAAGGTGGAAAGCTGAATCCTTTTTTACTGTGCAATGACTGTCAGCATGAGAGGAAGCAGCATTAGTTAAATGCAGTTTTTCACCTCACATTAAATTTGACCCGATTGTGATTTGTATATCAGTAACTCTGTTCCCAGAAATCCCAGGAAAGATGTACCAGTACTATAGAGGGTACTGTATTAGAGATCTACAGGAGCCCAAACTGGTCAGGATAATCCCCCTAAAACTTAGGTACACACACACATCAAGACAATTCAGGCTCTTCGGATAGAACAGGTGGTATTTTCGCATCTAAATATAAGAACCTAATGGCATTTTATACATCCAAAGGTACATAAAGTATGCACACAGGGTTGCTGTCTAAGACTCGAGGCATCTAGGACCATCTTTGCTGTCTAAGACTCGAGGCATCTAGGACCTTATGTGAACAGCCAGAGACCAGGCTGCTTAGGATATCTAACATGAAACAAGGCTGCTATATTTAGGCAAATAATTCTCTTAAATAAAATTTATACTGTTGGTAAAAATCAATATTTAAATGAATATGCAAAAGAAAGCAGTATAATGGATTGATATAATTTAAGATAATAATATAATTTAACACTTTAGTATGCTGAGCATTACAGAGCAATTCAAACCCCAAACCAGAATGAATAGAAAATTTTTTGTTCTTGAAAACAAACAAAACCAGACTATGTTAGTTCTGCTTAAGAAGATGTAAAACAAAATATATTGGTGAGCCTTAAACCACAGAATTTCATGTCTTAGCGGATGCCAGCAAAGTAACATCTTAGCAACATTTTACCTCATCTTTAATGCCAGCTGGGATAAACAGGAAACTGAAGGCTCTTTTTAGATAACTCAGGCCTCGCAGGAAGAACTTTCATTCATTTCTAATGTTGAAGTGAGTACATAAACCCCCAAGATTTTCTAGAAACATGCACAGGGCTGACAGAGAAGTGTCTGATTTTGCCTCATTTTAAAAATACTCAGTGATTGTAGGTTCTTAAAGAGGCTGGTCACAGGATTTATGGGTTAAAAAAGCTTTGCACAGAGTTAACCCTGTTACCTGGTTGCAAGTATCTCCATACAAAATTAAACTGTCAAAAGGTCTTTAGACAATTCAGTGTTTCAAGCCACAACATCAAGACAATGGGGAGAGCTTGTGTTATGAAGATGTCATCCTGCCTCTCTAACCCAACCAAAACTCATGTTCAGCTATTGAAAAAAAGGTATCTCATGGGGACACTTGCTGAGCTGAGATCTACTGAGAAGAGAGCTTCACCTGCAATTAATCCAGCTTTCTGATACATGTAGTGCTTAAATCATAACCCAATTTACTAGTGAATTAGGACACTAATTTGCAGTTTTTCAGATTCTTTTGCAGACTCACTTGCCTCAAGAAATATTGGTGCACTCTGCTAAAAAGTACCACTTATGAGAGTGGATGTATCAGCACTAACGTTCCATAAGCAAATCCCACTCCCTGATAATGTTAAGTCTGATAAAGAAATTTGTGCTATATTAAGTGTTCCTGCACCACTAAGGTAGCACACGGGATCGGATCATGGATCTTTTCCATAAGACCAATAAAAAAATAACAGGAATAATTTCCTCAGCTTTCCCCTCAACACAGACACAAGGAATGATGCACTAGAATAATTGAGTGCCATTTTATAAATTATTAATTTAATAGCTAGGTAAACACTTACTTTAAGTTTTGAAAAATAAAAAAAGTTTTGAAAAAAAAAAATTATTCTAAGTGAAATATTTTTTACCTAGATCCATACCACTGCTCTGTCATTTCATAAGGCAAGCTGGCAGCTACAGCATATCCCCGGATATTTTTTATGCTCCTGTGGTGTGTCTCAATAACATGTTGCTAACTGCTTACGTGAGACTATTCCTTGCATTTCAGAAAAAAAAACAAACACCACCACAACTTTTTTTAAACTAAAACATTTTCACACTAAATAATAGGAATGAAATGTATTAGCTAGGCAGGTCTCCTTGTATTGTCAGACAGCTCTGAAAGTAATTTGAAGGCAGACTATGAGCATCATTATGATCTTTTGTTCCTTTACCTGGAAGTAGGTTAAGCCAATTTCAGGTGTTTGACCTTGAAGGATCTGAATCAGGAAAGCCTTGACTATGTACCTAACAGTTCATACAGATGCTTTATAAGGAGCACACACAATTGCTGTTCTATGAATTCTTCACATCTCCGAAGGATTAGGGGTCATCTCTGTGTTGATATCCACCTGTCAGCTGACCCCCACCCTTCCAAGACTAAGAACACCGTTTACTACTGTTGTTCAGCACTTTGGAAAGACGCAATCTCAAGGCCGATCAGGTTTGACTCACGTTACAACACTGCCACTCTGTGGGCTGAAGAGGTCATGGGCTGCTCCAATTCTTTTCTGGCAGGGACAAGTGGAGCAAAAGATTCTCCGTGCTTACCCATTTATCATGAATAACTCCGCTCTGCTACTCCAGAGGAAATTAAGAGATCCCAAAGTAACAGCACCCAACGTGCAATAAAAACATAAGCTTGCCAAGGTGCTAAGTTCACTTAATTCTGCCCCTTAAGATCTGTTCAAAGCACCTATACACTCCAAAAAACATTGATAGGGAAAAAGTCTGGAGCAATGGATACCTTAGCCATCCAGTTTTGTCAGTTTGTCTATCACTTGCTGCAATCTCAAGATGAAGACACTGATCCCATAACTTAAAAGCATCATAAGATAAAATTTTAATGTAATGATGTGCTTCTACTTTCACAAAACAACTGTAATTCCACACGCAAGCCCAGCTTCAGCTTGCGGCCTAGATTAGACTTATTCAGAAAGCCTAACACAAGGTATTTTGCAACTTAAACACTCTAACCATTTCTAAGAGAGTGGCAAAAAATGGAGGAAGAAAACCAGAGATGGGTTTACAATGAAGCACTTAAAACTGTTATTGAAGAGGAGGAAAATCTGCAGTTCGTAACTTTTGTTTCTATTCACGTTTTTCTGCCAAACATGATCTTTCACATTTTTAGTTAGGAGAATCCTAAAGTCTTTTTCACAGGTGGCCACATATAATCAAACATTACTGACTCAGAGCAAAGGAGGATGTTACCATTATACTCTATGAGAATAACCTTCTCCTCCTCTGAGTTACGGAAAATACTTCCCACTCCTGTCTATCAATAACAGACAGTGAACGTGTGAGTGAGACTTCTATTATTTCACCTAAATAACACTCAGACACTGAAGGCTAGAGGAACCAAACAGCAGCAACTCCTCTAGTACAAATAGATCTTATCACACAAGATAGGACAAGCAATGCTGTTTTGAACCAGTGTTACTCCTGACAAAGCACAACGTTTGTACCATGCCACAAGTAAACTTCCCTTGGAACTAATAGAAAAGCATGTTTTGTTCATGTGTGTCATTTACAATACAGCACTTTGATGCTAGCATGCTTAAACTGGTGTTCAGTGAATCTTAAAATTACAGTAATACACTCTGTCTTACATTCCTGTAAGTTAACTAATAGGAAAAGCATCAATAAGCACAGTAGATAAACCGTCCACTACAGCCAACTTCTGTTTGACAGTTACTATTGCTCAAATCACCTCGTTGGTTGTCTTACTAAGATATTGCAATTGCTTCAGAGCTCAGCATAGAGATCAAATCTTAGGGACAACCTGGCAAATCACCTAATTATGTGCAAGAGCATCAAGGACCATTAGCTTAAGGATTATTTGTTTCAGTGCAAAAGATGGAGCCACTGACAAGGCTACAAAGATTCTGCACTTTCAATTCCTTGTTCCCAAGTGTTGATTTTATAGGAAAACACAGGACTCCGTTAATAGCACACACAGTTCTAGAAATAACTATTATGTGCCATCAGTCAATAACATTTGCCCTAAACAGAATAACATAAAATAACCATTTTTGAAAGGTGAAAAATCTTCCATAATGAAGCGTTCATTCTGTGGAGCTTTCTTTTAAGCTATTTTCCCCCCAGACATTTTAGGCAATAGAGAGATGGTTGGAATATTGTACTTTAGGAAATGGATGCCTGAATTTCCTGAGAGAACTAACACAAAATCTGAAGATTGCTGCACTGAATTATTCATTTCACCACACATTCTATTCTGCCTTTTCCTCCTGAAGCAGCAGTTTGGAACTTGCCTTACCTTGACTCTGTCCAAGATGTTAAGACAACCAAGGGGCTTTTGCTTAAGGATTTATTTTTTTTTTTGCAATGGATTAGAACATGTCAGGAAACAGCTTAATATGGATAAGCCCTTTAGTCTTAGCAGCTACAGTAAATTCAGACTCACTGAAACTTCATAGTGAAGCTACCAAAAGGTAGATCAACTACCCCAAAGTTTCAAATATACTGTGCTTGCATGAACTGGAAGGCAGTTTATCCCTAGATTTGCTTCAGGTTGGGGATTTTGGTTTTAGTTTCAATACATCTAAAAGAACTCTATATAAAGAGTTTGGAAGGTTTTCTTACTCATTCAAATTTGGTAGTCCTGAAAGCATCCCATGATTCTGAGCTTTACCCAGCAAGCCAAACCAATCAACGTTATAATAAAGGCCAGGGCCAACGTCTGAATAAGCATGCAATTAAGGTATCTTCTTAACCCTTGTACAACATCTTGCAGAACTTAAGTATGAAAGGCTAATGTCCACCAGGCCCACTATGAAGATTATTGTGTAATCTTGGAGCTTATGTAGAGTTCTCAAGGAGAACTCAGAGAGAACTTCATTCTACAATGAGTGGAACAATCTTCAGTTGTCCTAGAATGTGCATTTATTTATAATGACAAATTCAAATAACACGGGCAAATTAAAAAGATGCTTTAAAAGTGCCAATTTTTAGGAATTGCATCCTAGAGACTTATACTCACTTTTGCTTTTGATTTCCCAGCTGACTCCAAACTTCAACTACAAAACCATCAAAATTTTCATTCTAAATAAACAGAATTGACAACAGACAGTTAATCATCATTCTTATTCATTAGGCTTGTGCCAGAGAAGATAGTACAGTATTAAAGCAATTACTGAAGGTTTACTTGTCCTAGTGCACATTGAACGTGCTTTGTGTTCTTTTACCAGCTTTGTCTTTAATGTAGCATTTCATTAGGAACTCAAAGAGAAGCACAAATCATTTAACAAACACGCAAAAGATTAAAATCTCTTATTAGTTATACGTGACTTCTACTCTTACAGGATAAACCTGGATTGGATTGGGAAAATTCAGCCATTAATGAAAGTTGGTTATTAAGCAAATAATTTGACACACATTTACATGTATATTGGGAAAAAACTCATGAGTTCTCGAGTCTAAAGACGTAAATGCTAGCTTGGCATATATATGACTCCGAACATCTCCCACAATTAATCTCACTTGTGATAATTTATGTTTAGCATGATCAAGGATACTGTTGTACTTGAGTACCCTTTCCTTAAGAGGCCAATTGTTACTGAGGACCTAAAACTGATGTATCAGTTACAAATTTTAAGAAACCATTCAGTTTATCTCTACATATGATCCATCTTCCTCTAGAGGACACTAAGATTTCTTTACATCATGTAGTAAGTGAGAAAACTTATTCTGACAGTAATTAAGCAGGCTGTCATAAATCAACCACTGAAGCTGAATGTCTTGTGGGTGCAACTTGTCTAGTCCTACATACGCATAGTTCTAAAGTCATTAGCTAAAGGGCTGCCCAGAAAACCTTAGCAAACAGTAGCCATTCCTTAAGGGAAATCCTCTTCTCCTCTACCCAGCCTCTTAAGTTTGCCTAAAGGCAAACTGGTTTGTTTGACCTGAACAAAACTGTACAGCAACAGATACCCAGTGAGTTGGTGTTAAAAGTGGCTCTTTAGCATGCTGAGCCTGAATGTATTCCTGTAACGCAGAAAACAGCGCTCATTGCACTCATGATCCTTTTTCTGCCTATCAGAAAATGCCACTAATCAGGATAGTCCATGCTTGACAGATTTATTTTTTTAATAGAAATTAAAAAGAAAGCAGCCTGTTCACTAGGCAACCTCCATGAGAAGTTTATCAGGTATCCACTATTGCCCATATAACATTCAGCCTATCAGCTGTTTGGAACAGGTTTTATCAATCAGAGTTTATAGCAGGCAAAAGTCACCAGTGTCACTGCCAACAATAACTTAACAAGGCTATGTTGATCAGACTTATGTAGTCTCACTTTAGACTTGTAGTCAACTGCACTTAAGTGTTGCTATACTTCATATTTACAGGAATTGGCCACATACTAGGACACACTCTTAAGAATCCTGACTCATTATTGTTTGGAGCAAAATTTTATTTTGTAGAATATAAAACTACTGGAAATGAGAAAATACCCATTATAAAAGGAATCAAAATCTCACACAAATTAACAAAAACTTTGTACCTTGGCTAGTAGAACCATGTTCTTGGAAAGTTCCTCTATCTCATCCTCGCTGCCAAACACACTCTCGAAGTCCTGATAAGTCCAGCCATCAAACAAAATTCGAGGCACTATCAAGCAAAGTCAACAATCAGTACTGAAAATTAAGAATCTATTATCTAACTTGGAATATTTCTGCAGAAACAGAACACATCAGATAGAAGCAGAGCTGCCACTAAACAATGTATCCCATGACTAAGATCATTACATTTTTTATTTGACCGGCTTTAGCAGCACAGATAAATTGACACTGTACAACATTCTTCTTTGTTTTATCTTTAGTTAAAGGTCAGCATTGATGCAAGTTTTAAGAAAAGATACCTTCACTTGATTGAACTATCTTAACTGAATTACCACTTAGGGCCCAAAGTAGAGTCTTGAAAGAACACCAACATGAAACAGTAATCTTTCTCTAAGTTACGCATCTCTTCTACCACAAGAAGATAGAAAAGTTCACCTCAAACTCTAATTCACTAACAGAATCAACAGTTCAGTTACTTAGCTATCTATAGATAACTGCATTTGTTTTCTTCTCTGACTTCTTCCTTCATACAGCTATGCTAAGGTAACCTCCCTTTCTCCCATAAACACCTGGAACAATGCCTTCTTTTGCTCTGCTAGCAGTTAAAGAAGATGAAAAACAAACAAACATAAACCAGAAGCTCACCTATTTTGATGGTTTTGGAGGTTTTTCTAACATCTTTCATCCAGCCTGTCAAACAGTATTATCAAGTAAGAGAACAACTGTTAAAATATAAATGATGTTGACAATGACAACATATTCTCAAGCATTCTTCAAATAATGTGGGACAGTTTCATTATATCTGTCTTCCTGCCACAGGCTGGCTACTAGTTCACAACCAACACAGACAAAACATCCTCTGATGCACAGAATTTGAAGCTATTCACCTATACCACAGCATAACGAGCATTTACTACAATCTTACAATAGTCCCTACACAGCCCCTCCCTGCTGCTTCCAGTTCTGCCTCATTAGGGAAACTATCTTACTCCCTACTCAGAACAACAATTCTTTAGTCACCAAGCATCACTTGATCACTTGGGAGGAACTTTTTTTTTTTTTTGGCGGGGGGGGGCGTGGTAAGATGGTACTTTCAAGTGTCCCATCCACTCTTCTCAGTGGTCACTGTGCTAGAATTAATTTGTGAGCATCTTTTTTTTTTTTGTGCGGGGGGGGGGGTGTGGTAAGATGGTACTTTCAAGTGTCCCATCCACTCTTCTCAGTGGTCACTGTGCTAGAATTAATTTGTGAGCAAGTATTAACATGGTAAGAGTCATAGCTGTTTGAAATGAGATTCCACTGACAAATGTTTCAATCAAGTTCAAAACCATAAACTACTTAGTTATTATTTAAAAACACACTAGCTGAAATCTGAACATGCTGTCAGCTTCTTGACAGCAAATGAAAAAATTCTCTGAAACTATCTTCTATTCCCAAAACATATTCACCCAAATGTTTTTGCAGAGGGAAAAACACCACAACAGGTAAACAACTGCACAGTGCATAGAGACAGATGGTCTCTATGTCTGTACAGATTCTTTGTCCCTTCCTTTAAGGGGGGCTTTGCAGACAGCCTGTTTGAAGAGCCAATCTTTCCCTTATTCTTTGGACAGATCAACTATGTACACATGTGGTAGGGACAGAAAAAAAGCTCATTCTGAAGAAAACTTCCCAAAGAACGTAACAGATGAAAGTACTTCACCATGAGGCAGAGCCACAAAAACCCACATGCATATATTGTCAAAGCTACCAGACCAATAATTACAAGACCAAATCTTACTTGCCAGGCATATTCAAAGAAAAAGGAAATAACACCTTTATCAGCATCGTGGAGCCCAGTGAACTGGAACCTTTCCTTCCCTCTCCTTTTCACTTGTAACCAGACTGGTGAGATCAGTGTAAATTTGTTTCCAAATATCTTAGCAATGTCATAGCCATGGCTGTTCCACTTGGAAAAGAAAGGAGAAAAAAAAAGTGAGAGGCTGAAAAGCACTATATACAGTTCAGTTTACTTATGACCAATACAAATCCTTTAAGACAAATTTAACAATTTGCTAGACCCCTGTTTGTTGGCTTGAGGAAACCTTCTGAGATGTTATTTTTATAGCTGATAGCTACAAGAAAGGTAATCTTCAAATTGTGCAAATTCACCTGAACTACAGGAATTTGCGTGTAGATTCCAACACAGTTTTGAATTTACAGACTCTGCAATTATGTTCAAGAGAATTTGAGAAAGGTGAAAATGTATATGGCACCTATTTCTCTTTTGAGCAGTGTAAGACTGAAACAAGTGAAAAGCATCCTCTAAACAAAAGGAAGAAACATTTATTATTCAAGAAAGGATGCTTTGAATAATAGTAAGACCAGATAGCAAAAGAGATCAGTTTGACAGCAGCATAAATTTTTTACTCTTTATTTAGAAAGTTCAAGGTGGTAACTGCATGGTCTGAGGACACTTAGTAGCCCTCCTGATCTGACTTTACTGCAATGTCACATGACTCAGCAAAGACAAGAGAATACTATCATCTCTGCTTTACCAACAAGCTAGATATCCTTCAACAGATGGATGGGAGAACAAGGGTTTGAGACAATCTGAATTCCAATCCAGCTATCAAACAATCCTCTGATTATTTGATTATATTTGACCAGAAGTTACCATTATTATAAAAATACTTTTAAAGTAGATATGCAAAATTGCAAGTTTTATCAACTTTATTATTAATTTTATATTAACTTATATTAATTACATTAACTTATTATTATTTTTTTAAATAAAATATTAATTTTATTAACTTACAGGAGTAACATATCCCAGAACATCTCCCAAGAAATGTCTTTCCTTCATATTCTTGGAGCAATAACTTCTGTGTTCCAGTACAATATCCTTTGCTTTGGGATCCACAACTACAAGTCCCCGGTCTTGCACACTTTTATCAGAATGCAGCATCTCAGGAGAGAAGACAGTTTTTAGAATCAGTTATATAAAGCAGCCACTTCGAATTTCGAATAGCAACAGACTTCAAAAAGAAAAAATAATAATAAAGAAATCACAACATTAAACTGAGAACTTTTAAATGATGTGGAGCAGTTTAATTTAAAACTGAAACAGGAAGTGCCCAGAAATGATTTTTCATAGTCAGTAAACTTACTTTGTTTGGAAGGCAAAAAGCATATAAACAAAAAAATAAATCAAGAAGTGATAATCAGAAAGAACATCATTCACCACAGGTGATGCTATTTTTCTCTCTAGTCAATGCTTTCTGGCATGTTACCCCAGAAATGATAAAAAGGGGTTAGGAGTTCTTAACAGATAGCTTGAAGACAACTTTTAGACCGGATATATCTTAGACTGAGTATCCTGCATTGTGGTTACTGAAGGCCAAGATTCTGAATAGCTTCCTTCAAGGAAGATCTGCTTCAACTAAACCAGCACAAATAGTTCTAGCAGACAGAAACAGAGTGAGAAGGCCTAACAAAGTGTGCATAGTGAGCACACATTAACCATCTATTGATTCAGCATAAGGACTTTAAAGATAAGGCCTGTCTTAACATTTTGTATTATTCACACTACCTGCAGACTAGATCTTCTTCCTGGTAGATGTTGAGCAAGCAAGCAATTCAAAAAATGAGAGATGTATTTGCATAATGAAGGATTAACTAGAATTCTAATTTAAGGAGAGGATTTTGAACATGCCTACCTTTTTACCTAATGTGCTTAGCAACACTAAGTACATATACTTGGTACATACACTGGTAAATACTTCCTCTCCATACACACCCTTTCTCTTGCACTGCTGTGCCCTCTTGCAGTTTTGAAAGAAAACAGGTGGGAAACAACATGCTTAGCAGGTTAAGACAGACTTCAGCACGTTGGCTCCCCTTGCTCAGATTGTTACAGGACTCTCAACCATTTCTGCCTGCAAAGAAACTGCTGGTTAGAAGGCTCTTCAGAATCTTCTATGAGGATCCATCGGCAAGGCTGAGAACAACTTCCCCTCCATGAGTAAATGACCTAGCACTCTTGGTCCAAACTACTGCTCCCTGCCTCTCCTTGCCAAAGGGATGGAAGTATGTCTCCTTTCAGTATGGAAGAGGGACAAAACCCTCCGGCTTTTGTAGCTTGCATGGGGGATAAAGCTCCAGAAATCTAGATCACATTTGTTCAAGGAGTGAACCATTCGTGACATTCGTAAAGGTGAACGAAAGGACAGTTTCAGGTAGTCTTATGTGTGAGCATAAGCTTCGATGGAAATGCATGGTTGCTTTCAAGATTGTTTTGACAGAATGAGAGTCCTTTTACCAAAGTTCAATTAGTTCACCAGACATGTTAGATAAGATAAGCATTTCATTTATTTCTCTCACCTTTTCTTCCAGGTTTTTTGTAGAACCTTTCTTTGCATCTGTTTTTGACAGGGTACCTTCAGCCAGCCAGCAAATCATGGCAAGAGAAAGTGAAGTACAGAGAAGCCTCATGGTGTTCTTTCCCATTTCAATATTCTTCTGTCCTGAAAACATTAGGGCTCAAATCTCTCTTCTGTAAACAGAGGAATATTACAGTTTAATTCAGTTTTCTTGTCTAAGAAAAGTAAAGTAATTGTCTTGTCTTCCGCCCCTTAGAATCAGACTTATTAAGGCAGTACTGTTTTAATAGTGCTTTTGCCCTGGCAGCAAAATAGCACAGTGTTTTAAGAGACTTCTAGGGTTGAACATGCTTTTTTGTCCCTTGTTTTAGGAGGTGTATCACAGAGAAAGCGGGTTGGGCACTTGCAGCTTCCCATTTAAAGAATCCCTAGAGAAGTGTTATAGTTTACACCTGCAATTGAGATAAATTTCTGCTGTGCCAAACAATTATAGTATCACCTTACCTCTTCTATAGAAAATAGAGATACTATTTGTTTTTGCTCCTGCCTAACCCAGTCAGAAAGTGGCAAATTAATTGAGACAGAAAGAGTTACAGCTATATGCTTATAGCTATGTGCCTTTACTCTAAAAGGTGAGAACTTTGCTTTCAATTCCTTGCCAAGTCAGTGATACACACAGAATTAAAAAAAAAAAAAAGGGTCCTTTTGCTCTAGAATGACTTTGACATTTTGTCCCAGCTCCAGATGGAAAGAAATGAGAATTAACAGAGAACAGTTCTTTTCAGTGCTATTTATCTATCACATCTTAGTTCTGTCAGAGGAAAGACTTTACAAAAAAAATTTCAAATACAGCCGGAGACCGTTTTTCACCCTCTACCCATTCATGAGTTGCATTGGTTTTCTAGCCTAGTTCCCAGAAGTGGATAAGAAGAAAACAGAGAAAAAATATTTAGCCTTAGGGGAACCAGGGTGAAAGGAATTAAAATACCAGAATGAAGAAAAGCAACTTGTTACTAATTCTGGAAGTCCTAATTATCAAATTGGGGGACTAACTTTCATCTATAATAAACTAGTGGCTTTAGATATGCATCAGGCTGCTTCTTATAATTATGAGATCCTAATGGAGAAGGAAATAAGGTTTACCTTTCCCATAATTTTCTGAAGTTTTTTCAAACTTAAAAAATTCTTCTGCTTCCTGCGTTACTCTGAAGAATTAACATTTCTACCATTCATTTTAAGTTACCGCTCATTATGAGCTCATTTCTTCAAGTCATATTTACAAAACTTGTTCTGTTGGCACTGGTAACAAGTGTTGCTCAGTACAAAACATCAGGTGAGGGATCCCACAGGAGCAGTTTGAGCACTCTAGAGGAGTGCTGTGGCAGTAATATGGTGACAGAAGGAACCTTAGAGGTTAAATGGAAGTGTACTCAATGGAACAGCAGCTATTTGAGGCCAACAGTAGTAATGCAGAGATGAGATCAACAACCCAATATATTTAAGCATATATGGATGTGGCTGACTGTGAGGTTTTAAAAAGCAAAGATATTTATTGCAGGAGTTATGAATTCTGCAGGAAAGCAGAGAGAAGTACATGACTGGGGAACACAGCAGAAGGACGATGGCAGCAGAAGTACTTGAAAAAAAATGCCACCAATGAACATAGAGCAGCAAAAACCTCATGCACAAAGTTATTTGAAGGCTTTAGTCATGTCTTATAAAGACTACAAAAGAAAAGTAGAAAGCCTTCTAACACTTCTTGGATGCAGAGGGCAGGATAAAAGCTAAACTGCATACCATTTGTAATTCACTATTATTAATAGTTAAGGAGGTATGCTTCTACTTTGTCTTGAAGGTTACTGGTAACCCCCTTGTTTTCCACATCCTAAAAAATTAGACAAAGCAGGTTGCTCTTGATAGCATCTACTCTTTTTCATCTAGCTTGGCAAGATCTATAGAAACAGTTGAGAGCCTGAATAGTCAACACAAGTCTTAACTATTTGGACAGGTTATCAATTCTTCCAGAAGCTGCTATATATTGATTTGGAAGAGGTTTATTTCACTTTCAGAAACAATTAGCAACAGCATCCTCTGCCTTGAAGAGAAGTTAACATTTAACAGCTGAAGCACAGAAGTTTAAAAAAAACTGCAACACTGAACTCCAATTAGACATCAAAATGTGCTCATTTCCTTGACGTGATCATATCCATTTGCCAATTATTGTTGTCGCATTAACTCCTAGATCTATAGGAAGCACTGAACCTCTGGCAAAATGGTTTTTGCCAGTGACAGTCCAATATCAACTCTTGGTTGGAAACTTATTTTAAAAATTTGCTCTTTAACAACATCGGTTTAGTGAAAATGAAGCAGACAGCATTCCTCTACTACATGAATATGAATTAGTCAAACTTTAAATGCTGTTAATGTAAACTATAAGCATGAATTTTGCAAGCTTAATGAGACCAGATCCCCATCAAGTTTTTCTTCTGCATTATCATTCCTTCATCGTTTTTTAAATCTCCTCAAACTAACTAAACTGAGTAGAAATGTAGGAGCTTGGCACTCTTGTTTCTTTCCTGTATCACTGCAAAATGTAAGCAAAAACAAAGATTGACTCCATTTCTGCCCTTGTTCAACTGATACTGTGGACACTTTAAGGTTTAAAACATCTTCTGACAAATTGACCTGAAGCCCAGGCTTCTCTCTAAGCCAGGTCACAAACGTTATTTAACTTGAGTCTCCACATGAGGCAACGTATTTTTAGTCAGCTGTTTTAAGTGCATCTTTATTTTTAAAAGAGAGAAAAGCTGGCAGAAATTTAGGCTGTCCAAAAGAAGCAACCAAAGAAACTAAATAATCTTAGAGGGTGACATAGTAACTATGTGGAAATAAAGAGTTAACGTTTATACTTTATTTCTAAAGAAGAAGCTAGATTCTAACTACTGCTGCAGAAGAAGTCAGCATCACTTAGTAAAGGAAGCCCAGGAAGCATACTGCTGATGCGTTTTAAAATTAAATCAGTAATAGCTAGATTCAGGAGTGAAAAGTGAAAACAACCCCGGTTTTAACACGTGTAAACACTACTCCCTTTCTTCTTCTAAGGTGCTCCACTTCGACAGTAAGAATTTCCTCCCATATTCGCCTGGTTCTCCAGATACCAAAGCTTTTCACGCAGACCTCAGAGCCCGCGGGCCTGCCAGGCCGGCAGGCTCCCCCACAGCAAGCCCCCGCCGCGGCCTACCCCCGAGCCAGTACCCCGTGGGGCCACCCTCAGCTGCCGTGTCGCCCCCCCAGCTCCGGCGCAGGCCAAGAGCCACCACACCGCCGGAGCACAGCCTTCCCGCCCGCCCTCTCTCATTCCCTTCCCTCACAGCCCTTAGCCTCCCGCTGCCTCACAGCGCCGGCCCGCTGCCACCACCTACCGCCCACCGCCGCTTCGGAAGTGGAGGCGGACGGCACCGCCCCGCCGGCTGACGGGGAGGCGGGTGCCGTGTGTGGATGGAGCCGGTTGCGCCAAGATGGCGGCGATGCGGTGCGTGGCGGTGGCAGGCCGGAGGATGTGGCCGGCTCTGGGTGCCGGCTCTCCGGGGCGGGGCCGGGCGGGAGCGGCTGCCTGGCCCGGCCGAGCCCCAGGGGAAGAGGTGTCGGCTGGGTTGTCCCTGAGTGCGGGTTGCATTGGTGCTCATCAATACCCGAAGAAAGCAAATGGTAGCCACAGTCTAACCGTAAATTCCCTCGGGGAGCCTCCTGGTTTATTCCAAGCTGTAGCTATGGTGTAGGTACGTACAGAGTCTGGGGTAAAATACACCCACTGGCCTGGAGACAAAATGGCAGTTACAGTCAAGGCTGTGGAGGGTCAGCAAGCAATTTTGCTAACCCTAGGTGTGCAGAAAGAAATTGTCAGTTGGCCATTAACAGCCGTTAAAGTAAAAGTTTATGTTTTAAATCGAGCTTTTTATTATCTTCTGTTTTGACGTTCTACAGTTTGTGTTTTCACATACAACATTGCTGTGCTACTACTATTTTTGCTGCAGCGGAAGTTTTGATGTAACACTGTTTTTTCATGGGCTGCTTGCAGGGACTAAATACCGTATCAAAAGGCTTGATAAAAATGGATGTGTTATGTTGCGATGTAGTGGCAGCGCACTTCCCAACAGAAGCCTTACCTTGACCTGCTTTCTGTCGTCATTACATCTTGGTGCAACCTCACAGAAGCTGAACTGGAAGACTACCTTATTTTCTCCTGATGCATTCATCTCTATCATTCCCTCTTGTGTGATGAAGATCTTCATGAACATTCTTTAGCACTGAGAAGAAAAAACAATTTTTTTTTTACTCTGGGAAAAAGTCTTGCCAGTGAACTGGATGTACGGTCTCTCTGGCAAGTGCTAAGATCGTGTACGCTTTCTCTGAGCACTAAATCACCCAGATTTAAATTCTAGCAAGGGCTTCAGAAAGGAAACTGGTAATCACTACCACATTTGGACCACACGTTTACAGACTAAAGAGCAGGAAAAAAGAAGCTTTCATCCCACTTTTTTAGTGTCATAAAAGCACCTCTGAATCCTTGAGCTTTCACTCTGGAAGTGGTGATTTTTTTCAAATACTACTTGATAGATGTGTTTGAAATACAGTATATTTTAATAATTTAAAAGGTGCACAACTACAGTACCTAAAGTAATCTACAATTGATGTAGTACCAGATTTTCTTTTGTTTCATAACATGCTGTTCATCTCACAAACTTTAAATGCTTCCATGTTACACTAAATAGCAGGAACAACAGAGACAAGGCATGAGTGCATGAAAAATCAGTTTTGTTTCCTGTCTCTGTAATGAAATCTATAATTTCCTGTGTTGCATTCCCATCATATACTCCTATTGACTCTCTTCTAGCTTTAGCAAGACTGATCCAAAGGTTTGCTGCAAGTAGTTGACAGGGTGCGTGCTGCCATTGAGGAGACCTGTAGCTACCCGTAAGCGTATCACAGATCTTATACATGATCTCTTATACATGAGGATGCACCCAAAATTTTAAGACATCTACAAGGTATTGGGCAGTCCCCACCAAAAGCTGACATTCCACTAAACAAGACTAACTGTGCTTCTACATTTTCAATGTTCTCCAAAGAGACAAGAATCCATACCTGTTCTGGGAATCATAAATGAAAAAAAAAACCTCCTATGAACCAGAAGGAATTATACCGAGTTTATTGCATCTCACAAAGCCACCCAGCTGGCTGACATTACTCTGCTAGTATGCAGGTGGCAAAGGAGATCTTGTTTGTGAAGCCTTTATTCATCCTTATTTTATCTCATTTACTCTCCCACAATTTATTTTAAAGTTTTATATTCTACATTTTAATATAAATGTGGTGTTTTGAGTGTAAACTCTTTCTGGTCATTGAGGGGCTCACTGTAAAGAAAAGATTTAGGCAGATCTGTCCAAATTTCTGGAAGTTTAGGGTTTCATAATAGTGGTATTATTCTAACTTTGTGTATCTTAGTCTTGAAAGCAGCACATCTGACACTCTGGCATGGTAGAAGGCATTGCTGATTCACCTGTGCTGTGCGTTCATGGATAATGAATGTTAGATGTCAAGTAGAGAAACATTATTGAGTATACGTGTAGAGGAGCCACCAATTCTGTTTTCTCCTTAGCTCTTTTTAATTCCAGTCATGGTTAGAATGACCATGAGGGCAGAAGAAAGCAATAACTGATGAGGTGAGGAACAAATCTGACAGAAGTAACAAAGGGAGAGGAACAATTTGGTTTTTGTAGTTCCCACAGATGAATACTCAACAGCTGAATCCATTCAGTCTAATGGTAATACTTTTACAAAAGTTGGTGTAATTATTCAAATCTTTGTACCAGTGCAATTAAATTCTGAAATGCAAATAATGTATGGCATGGGAAAGAAGGGATAGACATTGTGGATTTGTTGGCAAACAAATGTGCTGCAAAACGTTTTGTGTGATAGGAAAGCATTTCTTGTGACTATTTCCCCTTTAATGCTAATTTTACAGTAATTAGAAATCTCTTTAAAAATCATGACTTTTTGGGATGGATGGAACTAATGAAGTCTGGGGTTTTTTTCAGACTGGTTTTATAGACAGTTTTATAGATGTTAAGCTCAACCCAAAAGGTTACATTACTATGTTTCTTTCAGTCAGGACACACCTATAGATTATTAGAGGCCCTCTTTCCTTTAGCTAAGTATTTATTCACATAAGATTTTTGCATTTTCCCTACCAAAACTGTCTGAAATGGGCTAATAAGTTCTAAATTATGAAGCAGTAAGGGCAGACACATACTTACACATTTGCCATAATTGCATAAGCCTTTGTTAAGGCAAAATGAAGCAGACAGCAAGGAAGAATAGTCAAAGGAGATTGACATAAAATAACCGGGGTATGTGTACTGCATACTGAGCCACTTCAAATGAAATATTTAGCAGTATAATTACAAAAATAGCACCACGTGAGTTAACTACTTGAATATTTACCCCAGTTCTCAAGCAGAATTTGCAGCCCATGCCTAGTTTGGTACAGCCACAGCCATTCCGCTAGCACTTGAAAGGTAGTTTTAGTCTACCTGCATGACTTGCAGTTACAGTATTGACTGGAATACAGCCAGACAGGACTGATAGGCTTAGCCTTTAGGTGTCACTGTGCTCTTAAGAGTAGAAATTAGTTTAAAGTTTTGGCTAGCTGAAAAAAAGATGGGTTTTTTGCTGAAACAGAAATTCCTACATAGGATACAAACATCTTAAGTTCTCAGCTTCAAAGGTAAATGGAAATTATTGTTAATCATCAAAATCTGTGAAAAAGGAGAGTTTTCTTCATGTAGGCCTGCGGATGCAGGTAATCTGAGTTGAATGTAAGATGGGTTGTGCATGACTGCTTGCAGTTATACTTGGTCTACAAAATGGACCCAGGGAGAAACACATATATGCATCGTTACCACATGCTGTCATCTTGTCTTTCTAACAGATACTTACACAACTAAAAAGCACTCATGTTAACAATGTATCCTGAAAACATGCAGAACAGACACTTGACAGGTGACCTGAGGTATACAGCCACTATGAGATAGTATCTAGTATTATGTAGTTCTTTATCTACAAGAGAAAAATGTATCATTAATTTAAAGGCACTGGAGCTTGATTAATTTAAATAAGATGCAAGCTCTAAATGAGGAAGATTGACCATGGGAACAAACTACCCCAGAAAACAGTGAATTTGATGATGTCAGATCAAGATTGAGTACCTTTCTGGAAGATAGGCTGTAGCTAAGAGCTGGATACTGGGCTCAATTCAGGGAAAAAAAAGAAAGAAAAAAGAACAGGTGAAATGAAATGGCTTGAAGTGTACAGGAAAACAGATGAAATGACTGATCTCCAGTAGCCCTGAACCCCATGATTCTACAGGTCAGTATATTCCATTAAGAATACTAATCACTTGCGTTATGACTGAAACTCTTGGCATACTTTTGCTGAGGCAGACTAGGCCGGTTTTGACACCCTTTCGATCTATTTTCAGCTGATGAGATTAAATGCTCTGTGCAGTCCTACCTCTTTGGCATGTTTAAGGCAGTTTAACCTTGAAATGTCTTCAATCTCAGGAGTAGATGTGGCGTGGGACTGTGTTGCTCCGCATGTTCATAGCTTTCATGAGAAAGACGTGGCCCTGAGTTTGAACACCTTTTCGGGCTGGAGGACAGAGGTGCTGTCGGTCAGGATCAGTCCATCCTGTGGAAAGCATGATCTTACATACTGTACCACAGAGGGTTGGTACACTGCTCTCTGCATTTTAGAAATAAAATACTAGATTAACAGACTGTTCAAAGTTTACAGATTAAGTGAAATTTTCTTGTCTTCTAATCTGTCATCCCTCTTTTCCCTCAGAAGTTACATCCTCTGAGATACCTGCAAAGCCCGACATTTCTCCTTCAGAAACCGTAAAACTTCTCGATCATTAAGGGCACGGGTGAGGAAGGAATTAGGCCATTCCTGAGCGGGGAGCATTTGGATTCACCCACGGACCCAGCGGTTGGGGCCGCTCTGCCGACCCCTCACGAAGGCCTGCCACCCCTGACGTCGGCCTAAGCCCGTTTGCCCTGACGGCGGTGACTGCTAATCGCGTCCCCCGCCCGATCTCCGGTACCCAGCCTCCAAGCAGCCACCCCTCCCGGGCCGCAGGACCGCCCGGGGTCCCGCGGGGGATACCCCGGCGGCGCCAGGAGCCGGGGCAGAGGCCGGGGGCCCTGCCCGCCGCGGCGGCTGAGGGGAGGCCCGGCGCG